GTCTCCCTAAGTCATCCAAAACTCAGGTGTCCCAGTGGCATGACTCAGCACAGTCATGCACAGTACAATATGGCCTGAGGCATCTCAGAGGACAAAACGGCAGATAGATCATCTGATGGTGCACTTTATAAGATATGGCATTCGAAATGATTGCTGGAATATGAAGAGGAAGAAACTGACAGATTTGTCCCCACTCTTTTGTCTGGGGTTAGTGTAATCTATTCAAGGGGCAATTGCAGCTTCCCCTAGTCTCCAAAATCTCCCTTTCAGTGTAACACTGTTCCAGAGTACAAACTCAAACTGCTCCAAAACATGCCACTTGCAGCAAAATGCTAACAAAAACTCAATTAAATTCCCAACTTACTAACTATCAGTGTATCAGACTTTCAATCAAGTTTCAGTTTGTTCAACTGCCTAGTCTGTTCCAAAGTTTGCAGCAAGATAAAATTACTAGATGTGCTAAAATTACATTCTCACTTAGTTCTTAGCGGGATGGATTAAACCACAAGATACAGAAACATTAAACACTGAATTCAAACTTCTACAGCTTTGAAACTCTTTGATAAAAGCAAACGAAAGATAACATCCCACGCAAACATAACTCAAGCATAACCTCTTGATCTTCAGTACCAAAGAAAGGAGATTCAAAGCCAATTTTAAGTCTGTGCTTTGCCTGGGATCAGCATTTGACCTTTTAAAACTTAAAAAACAACTTCTTTTTACTGAAGAGTAGTACAGGTTCCTTAAATGGTTTTGAGATTTGGTTTGTTTTCTCGTCTGTTTTTAATTAAGTTGTCCTTTTATGGTCCAAATAATTCTCATTCGTTAAATCTGCTAGACTACCACTAAGATTAATATTAGTGTCTAGTGGATCTATGTTCAGTTTCAGTTATTTATGAAATTGAATGGTTTTGATCTGGTTTACAGTTCTTATTTTGAAGGTAGTTTAATATTTATTCTAAATTATTTATGAAAACTGGATTAACATGTTGAAACTCTCAGAATCATATCATGTATCTATCTTCCCTTTTTAAGTCAACCAACCACAAGGTTCATGATGGTTACAGGAAATATTTTGAATTCACAGTGTTCTTTATCAATGCAGTGATAATACTATGTTCTCATACAAAATAAATAGTAGACCATTTAACAGTGCATCCTCAGGAAAACTGACATAATCGATTCATCAGAACATGAAAATGCCTGTGTCAGAAAAGCTTGCCTGACAGATTGCCACCACCATTTCTAATGGGATAGTAATTAAGAGAAACGGAGAAGACTGGCCACTTTCTTTAGTCTGTTCACCTCATAGTCCCCCAGGATCCACTGTTATTAGATTAATAATTTTATAGGGCTGAGTCATAATATTTTCCTCCACAACCTGCTGAGGCCAGCAAACCTCAGATGTTCGGAAACCATAATATAAGGAAGTTATTTAAAAATTGATTTTACTATCTTTTACAGTTTCAACAAGTACCCTTGACTCCTGGTATTGGGGAATTTGGTGAATAACATGTTTTTCCACATTCAGTTTACCCACCACTTTGATTTTGTAAACTTCAGTCATATCTCTCCTGAGATTTCTCTCCAGATTGAAGATCTCCAGCTTCTTAGTCTCTCCTCACAATGCAGCTACTCCAAACTCACTCATTTTAGCTGTCTTCCTAATAATATACTTGAAATTGGCTTAAGAAATATGTCCGAAATGGCCTATGCTCCTTCTGTAAACTACACAAGATTATCACAATCAAGTTCTTCCATCTTGGTAAGCAATAGCTTAGAATCCATTTGATTGCTAATTTCTTACCATTTCCTTTATCTTGACATCTGCTGAGCCAAAAAATTTAACAGAAAACAAAATTTTAATTGATCACTACTCCACTGTTTGACCTACTGAGAATCAGCTTTCAAAGCAGAGCACAATGTATTGACTATAAAGAATAAAGCACAAAATTGTTTTAAAAAACATTTAGAATCAGTTTTCTTTTCTGAATTGTTCAAGATTCTAAATGTTAATATTGATTTTATTTTTCTTTGAAATTATTAAATTAAGATGTATTCTACCTAGTCTGCTCTCCCTTTGGTATCATCTTCTTCTATTATGGTTTTAAAATGTGATTCTATTTTCTTATTCTGAAAATTAACTCGAGCAAAATACTTACAATCTTATTCAGAATCATAAAATTCTTTTCACTGTGAACATTTTAATTTTTAGGAAATATAGAGAAATACTAAAGGATGAATAAAGCTTCAGTGATCCAAAACATAAGCATGTTTGGAAAATAATTCATTAAAGCTATTTTGAAAAAGAGAAGTCAAAATATTTTAATTCACTCTGATCTATCATAATTTGTATTATCCTGAGATACTTAAATAAATTTGCCATTCTACAGTGGTACAGTATAAACATACGAAATGGACAATGCCATGACTATATCAGCTCTTTTGGACTGCTGGCCGTGACATATTGGACAGCAAAGAAAACAATACAGAGCAAGGTATAGAAGAGTAAGGTATACAGACTGGGGCAGTGGTACAATCAAAGAGATATTGAAGTTAGTTTGCAGATATCTGGCATGGCTCCTGTTTGAAGCCCAGCTGTGATAACTCAGAATGCATTAAGGTACATAGTTCTTGACATGTCTTAGCTGAGCACCATTTTACTGCAATTGCTGGTAATCAAGCTAGTTCAACTGTATCTATGCAATTATGGTCTCAAGAGAATGACTCCTGCACAAACATACACTGAGACACACATACAGGTGAGAGTCTGAGTGAGCAATAAATAGTAGCATACAGGAGAAGCAAGTAGAGGTCACTTCCTTCAACTTTTCTTGTCTGCTCCATGCTTTGCTCTTAATGAAAAATTAAGGCACTTTGGGTGACCTGGGTTTCAAGTCCTAAAAATAGAGAACTTGACTGTATCCCAAACGAAATTGAAACAACTAATGAACAACTAAAAAATGCCAAAGCAAATCCCATGACATCAAGGCTATATGAAGACTGTGCAGTAGGTAAGTCTATGATCTTTTCACCCTAGGATCATCACTAATTGAGAGCTAGCTAGAACATACCACATATTCCTGTCATCTAGGTTTCTTGCCTTTGAAAATCCAGTCTGTGAGAGTGAAAAGATGAGGGGATAAAATAAAAAGCTTGTACTGGAAGGCAGTACCTAGACTGAGGGTAGGATCTGTTTCCAAGATCTGGGAGCAAAAAGTGTTCCCTCGCTCTAACACAGCCAGGAAGACTGGGCAATGAATAGAAGTGCAAACTCCTCCGTCCTGATGCACGAGTCTCACTAGAGTATATCAAAAGCATTTATATCAGTTTAACACAACACTATCTGTATTCCTTCTACAGCAATGCATTTATTCATGCAGAGTTCACTAACCTAGGTCTCCACAACCATTGTCCTCAAAATTACACAAGCTGTCATTCTAGAGAAAAACAAACCAACCAGTCAACAAACGAAACAGATCAAAAGAAGGAACGAACTTGCAAGTGTTTCAGATCCTTCATCTAGGGAATATAACTATATTACTCTCCTTTAACAGATCCTAAGCTTCCTTAAAATACAGAATGTGCCAAGAAATTCCATGTACTGCTAACACCGCCCTGATCCAAAACAGCATTAGATACACATTGCTATTGATAAATGAAGGAAAGAACAATACCGATCTTTACCAGAACTGGAACATATTTCATATTCTCAGACAAAGCTCAACCACTAATCTCTTTCTTCTGTGTTGCCACAGCAGCTTACAGGGCTATTAAAATGGTGTGTTATTGGTTTGTGAGTGTTAGCGCTTACATAACAAGTTAAGGCTTGGAAACACAGATGGGTTTCCATTGCACAAAAGAACAGCTTTTAGTGTGATAAATAAAGGCCAAGGGCTCCCTTGTGTAACAAGTAGCATTACCATCAACACCTGGAAATACAGCAGAAAGAATATTTGAAACACTGATGTAGCTTCTGACAGCTGTAGCTTACTTGTTGCATCTCCTTCTTTTAACGTGTTCCAAGTGAAACTTAAATCATTATTAAACTCAACAATAAACTTTCAGGACTCTTCCTTACCACTTGCAGTGAACATTTTTACAGCTTTTGACCGCCACAGATCTAAACTAAAAAAATGGTACATGACACATCACAAGTAACAAAACTGTTGCACACTATTTGTTATTCTAGTACATCTCTAGCACACATTAATGTATGTCTATAAAGAATATTCTGGGTTTTAAAAACATGCATGAAGAAAGCTCTATCAGTGACTATTTTAGAGCAGAATGTCATATCAATTTAAGTGTAGCATCTAGGTTAAGAATATATGAGCTTATAAAACCTAGTATAAATAGCAACAAAAATATTTTTTTTTCTTTTTCAATCGGAAATTTTCTTTTTAAAGAAGTTAAATCATTTTTGTATTTTCTATAACTCAAATGCTCTAGCTTCCTGTAACTGCATGAGAAAAAGCAAATGGATCTGAAAATGATTATAAATAACATTTATAAATTAACAAATCCATTCTTTTTATCCAACCTATGAAATGCATATGTTAATGGCATTAATGATGAGAAGTGAATTAGATTAGGATTAATTGTTTCAATTAGCTAAGTTTTTATTAGTACTACAGAGATATATTTTAATGGCACACTATCAAATGGAAAGATGTTAAACCAACTGTAAGAACTGTAAATGAAGCTCTGATCTGTTCTACTTTTAATCAAGCAATAATGTATGGGGTTTTTTGTTTTTTCTAAACAATAGGAGAGGAATTATAAAAACCTGGAGTATGGAAGAGAATGATGGTCACTAACAGGAGCGGGTAGAAAAGAAGAATTAAACAAATGATTGTGGATGTGAAATTTAGTTACTGATTATTTGTTATGAATATGAAAACTCCAGAAGTTAAGAGCACCTTTTAACATTTAAGCAAGAAGCAAATCTAAAACAATAAAAAATAATTTCACAATATTTTTGTTCTCTTTTAACTTACCTCTTCTTTTTCTCTACCAGCTGTCTGCAGATCTCCTGCCACCGGGTATTCAAACTTTCCAGTTGTTCCTTCAGCACCTTAGCATCTGCTGTTGATGATTGCTCAATAATCTCTTCACCAGTTACGTTCAATGTTTTGACAACAGTTTGCTGTCGCCCAATGCCATCCTGAAGCTCCTGCAAAATACCCACCACATACACGTATTCATAAAAACATCAAGCATGAATCAAAATGCTTCATCAAATACTGGCCAGATGGAAAAAGAGGAAAGATTTTGCTCTCCTCTGAATTCCAAATGAAAAATCCAAGGGTGAGTAGACAGAAAGACATCTCATGTTTTTGTAACAAGTACTTTTCAGTGCATCTCTATAGCCTTTTTTCCCCTCCTGTATTCTTGTCTGCCAGAGATCATTACAGTAATATTCTGCAGATCAATTAGTAAGTAAAACTTGTGAACAAATTTACTTCTACGCCCCCAAAGGTATACACCATGTTTATTTAATAGTCTACAAAGCATTGCAAAATATAAAGTGCACAGTGTTTGCAGTTCCGATTAGTTATCAACACAAATAAGTGATGTCGAGAAAGCAAAGACTGTTAGAAAAAAAAAAAAAAATAACACATTTGTTTCCAGTTGTGAGAAGCCTGATAATCCGTTCTGTAATGGTTGGTTTTGGTTTTCTGGCAGGGTTAGGGGGAGCTAGGCTTCTAAGGAAAAGTGTTATTTACATTGTTTCTACTTAGACAACAATATGGAAAACCGCCAAAAGATACTAAGATGGACCATTTTTCAAGTTTTACTAAATATATTAGGATACATTTTCTACATCTTTTCTCATTAAAAAACTGTCATACTTGTAGCTACTTTACCTTATTTTTAAAAACGACACAGTTCTGAATCTGTAGCTTAGATTTCAACACTATATGCCTGTTTAAGAAAAGTTGTTCTTTATAAATAAGGAAATGAATATTTTCGTATTTTTAATCATCAATAGAGCACGAGTATTTTTTCCTTGAATTCCTCACAACATACAAGCAGGGAAGCATAAAATCATTTTCAACAGTTTACTGCCAAAATAAGTAGAAACTGAAATACCGTCAACATTCTACATTGTAAGATTCATATTTATGAGAGGTTTCACAGTCTCAGGAAGTGTGTCTGAATCCTATCTACATCCAAGAGCTTTCAAGTAAAATGCTGAACCCACCTTTTCTGGAAGAAACCAAACATTTTAGCTTATCATACTCTGGAACAACATTATAAGCTTGTTTTCTCTTTCTAAATGTATAATATGAATTACAGAGTAAGTTAGTAAATCGACATATTAACATTAAATTAAATTTGTCCATGAACTGGTTAAAATTGGCAGGATACAGCTTTTCAGGATTGTAAAAGATGAACATAATTACTACTCATGCCTTTTTTTTTTTTTTTTTTAGATATATCTTGTCCATTGGATCTTCAGGCATGTGGTTATGATTGAAAGTTCACAAACTCAATCACACTTGAAGTTAACTTGATTTAACACAGCCACACCTCAGTTGTCAGATACTAATTCATCAAACCACGAAAAGTCAATTGCATGCCCTATCTCTATAAAATTTGCACAAATTTTACACAGACAGCTTGAACACCAAAATCAGTACAACCTGGGGCAGAGGTCAAAGTCAGCTACCTTCTGCGGCACTTACCCACAGTCCTGGACAGGTGTCGTAGCCGAAGCAAAGGTTTGTACTGCTGAGACTAAGCTTATTATCCTTTCTGTTCGGTTTTCTTACAGTTTCTTTTAGAAAAGAACTCCCCCAAAATTATTTCTGTCTTTGGTACCTCTCGGTAAAAACTGTTACTGTTTTTTTTAATTTTTTTTCCAAACTATTCTCACATCCCGTACTTTCAGAATAAAAAAGTAGCTGTGATGAAGGTAATGTTACAGTAATCGGCAGGCTGGTTTATTATGTTTTGATAAGGTGAGAAAACTTTTTCTGCTGGATACTAGCAAGCTACTACAGTCCAGTCACGTGGTATCAAGCTCCCTGCTAGCCCAAAGTGTCCCAGAGCACTTTGCTTTCCCTATGGAACATGTAAAATTTTAAAATACCATTGTAGCAGAAGCTGCAAGATCTTTTAAGACCCAGAAAAGACCCATAAAAGTCTCTTACTTTGAGGTACCAGATTTTCTTGTCTTTCACCTGATCCAACCTTTAGCTATTATTTTCAGGTGCATGATTCACTATTAGAAATCACCAGTAGTAATTGCCAGGTAGTTTGCCTAAATGCAAATATTCTCTATGATTGTGAGGCTGGAAAGTCATTGATCTTTCCAGTAAACACCTCAGTTTTGGTAGTACAGCATTTCATATTGATTTTAAGACTAGAGCCTTTTCATTAAGCAGTAGGGAGATGACACAGGTAAATAATGACAATAAGATGTATAGTCTGAGGAAAAATATTTCCCAGTAAGTGGCCTATTTCCAGCGAGGTGCCTGAAACAATTGTGTTATTCCATGTCTGAACTTAAGATCCATACCACTTACAGAAAAAACAACTCAGAACAAAGCTTCTATTATACACAGCAGGACTGTTCATTTGGAATAAGTGATCAAGGCAAGAAGAATAAAGAAGAGAAATTCTATTTCCTGAAGTCCAAAGATTTTAGAATTAAAATTTATAGAAATTAGAGGTTATCTCTGCACCATTTTCTAAATGACAGAAATAATCACCAGCCAGTATGCTGTTATAAAGTGAAATGCTAATTCAAAGTCCATTTATATACACTAACTGAGCGCTTTTCCTGCATTCACGACATCTTAAATTGTTTTTTCCTTCCTCCCCCAGCATACACTAAAAGAAAAAAAAAGTAAAAAAAATATAGCAACTATTACATGATTTCCACACTTATTTCAATCGACACAAAATGAACCAAGAGAATTTTCTAGTTTGTCTTGTGGCATGTTATGCAATAGATCTTACTTACAAAGTAAAAAAAGAAAATAGCCAGCTCAGTAGCAGAGATGGTCTTTGAATTTACAATCCCTAATACCAAAATGGGAACCTTGCACAGGATGCGTAGGAAGGGGAAGTGTGAACTTCCGCCAGAACATGAGATAAAGCTTCTGGCCATCTGGGTTTCAGATCACCGTAGAAATCTCGATTTGAGATTATTTTTTCCACTTGACACTTTTCACATAATGAAATGGAAACACACATGCTGATGAAGTTTGTCTAGATTCCATGGCCTAAGAAAAAAGCAGATTTTTCTTGATACTGGGTACTGCGCAGAGCACAACAACCCATGAAGACATTTAGTTTTTTAAAAAAGTATTTTTATATTAAGTGGACAAAAGTGGTTTTAGCTGTTTTGCTGAAAGTCATGTTTTCACACCCTCGCCCCAGAGCTATGAATCACAAAGATGTTTTTCACAACTTGCATTCAGTATCTAAAACTTGTCAACACCTATAGTTAGTTCCCTATTCATTCACCCTCTTAGCCCTGCCACACACCTGCATGAGGACATAGTCCTGGGAGCCTGCAAGGGGTTGCCTCCCATGGACTTACAGCTTATTGTGCTACTGAAGGCATATTGACATTGAATCTGCTTCTTGTAGTTTCACTTGACATTTCACCCCTTCCTACAGGAATGGTGAAACAAAAGGTCACGTTGCCCTTTGGATTCGCAGCTTACTCAGAAGGCCATCTGAGATACTTAACGCTTGCAATTATACAGTTTCCAATCACTTTGTTCATAAAGAGAGCAAATTTAATTAAAAATGAGATGTTTATATAGTATCAAAAATATAACTACTTGGAAAATATGAGACCTCATCACATTCATACAGAGCTAATCACAATTTTCAGTGGATTCCAGATATTTCTATGTACTTTGTGTTTTCAACATGTTGCATTTTTAGTTAATAAGAAAAGTAGATGATAATATAAATACCCATCACTTTAATTTTTCTTTCTTGTAATTCCCAAGCATAAGTAAGCAGAGAACGACATATCATTAAAGTGAGGTTTAAATATTCTCTCAGACTAATGCAAAAATAGTATATCAAAGTATATTCTACCTCTCGTACAGACGGTTTTACACTTTGATAATGACCTCAACTAATTTCGTACGATAACTTAAAACTGCCAAGACATTAATTTGATGCTTCTTTGCTTCAATTAATTTCTTTTTATTTTCCAAGGTTTACCTAAAATAAGAAATTATGCACACTGTTTCAGAAAACTTCCAAGTGAAATAAAAACAAAAAAGAAATACGGTGTAAACACAGGTGAAAATCCTCACGAAAGTCAATAGGGCTGCATCTGCAATAGTAGGGGACTCTTTCCATAATCAGCTTGAAAATTCTGGTCTAGTTCACTATGAGTTTTCATTTTCGTTAGTACATGTACTTTCTGGTCCTAGAAGCAACATCTTAACGGCAACACAAGAGCAGCTGCTTTATGACATTTTTCAAATCAAACATTAAAAAAAAGAAAAAGTGGAAAGAGAAATTCCCAAATGACTTTCTTAATAACACACTTCCAATATCACTTCTGACCCCCTCCACAAATGTATATCGAACACTATTTCAGTTATACCTCCAAACATTCAGAGGTTTCTGCATCAAGGTTAGTAAGATGGCTCATCAAGCTGTTCTTGAGATGCTTATGCAGTATTGTGAATATTAATCAACAAATCACAACAGAGTGTAACAAAGCTGATAGCAACACCATACACCATTATTCTTTAGAAAATACTTTCCAATTACATCATATGTTGCTTCCCTAAGCATATTAA